ATAAAATGATCTCGCGGGCCGGATGTGACACATGTGCTTTAGATAAAGAGTCCCTAACCCAATAAGCCTGTGCTTAGAGCCAGAGTGACCCTGCCCCAAGCTAGACCAACAGTAATTTCTCACATCATATTCACCTATTCCAACCAGTTGGATTTTACAGTTTGGGTAATAGTTTTGAGAGTATATCTGCAGCTGATGAATACATTCATCACCAACATCATATAAAGGTGGAGACAAAATAGAATATATGTGCCTGTCACATTCGTCATTTCTTATGTTACATCTGAACTAAATATGCTTCAGCAAAATGTTTAACCAGTCACAATGGTATTATGCAAGTTTTATTTTTATCTTTAACCTATGCAGTAACAATAGCAAACCAAAACCTTCTCACCTCAGATGAAAACAACATTAAATTAAAGCAAGAGAAATCAGACTTGCTTCTGGCTCTTGAGTCTAATTCTTGGCCAGCGTGTATTCAGTTAAACGCTGTCTAATTTTACTACAGTTCTCATTGTCAGAGCTACTGTATATTTAGGTAGCGAGATGCTCAGACATTGATGCCACTGTTCAAACTAATTCTTACAAATGGGCAGAGACAGAGAGAGGCACTGAACTCTTACTGATGCGACACTTGATTGTTATCTGACTCCTGTTTTCATACAAATAGCATCTCAATGACACCACAGAAAACACAAAAATAGTGACAGAATAGTGACATGAACATTGACCTTTATAAGCCTGTAGTACAACATTAGAACATAAGCTCTTATGGGTCAGCAAACTTTATTATGGCAGATTTTATTCTGTCACATTTCAGACACATCAAAGATTCTTAGAGACTATAATGATATAAAAGGTTTTGTCACTGTATCTCTATGCAAGGCTGAATAGAGCTCAATTCTATTAATTCAACCAAGATCTGATGAGGTAAGAGACACCAAAGAAAGGCTCGACATTTTTACTCACATGCCAGGAAGCAGTCCATACTGAATGAGATGTTGTCAAGAGAAATGGCTGAACCTGGTCCAGGTCCATCTTCTGTGCTGAACTGCAGCCAGAACCTGTGGAGGAACAGAGCTGATTTAAAATTACTTTAGAACTGAAATTCTGTGAAGGAGAATTTATCTTATTTCAGAAAAGAGCCACCGAGGTTTGGCATTGGAGTGTGTGCATTGTGTGCCTTATGACAGCTCTGTTCATATTGTTAGGAACAGTTCAATTCTCTTTTAGCAGAGACAAAAGAGCACAATTTGACCTCTATAGGGATGAAACACATTTTCTGGCTTTAAATTAAATAAAAGAAATTTTAATTAAAGAATGATATGCTCAAAATAATTTAGGCAGACATGGCTACACTAACACTAAACTGCAGCCAGCAGCTGGTTAGCTTAGCTCAGTGTACAGTCTGGAAACTGGGGGTAACTATAAGCTTGACTTTGTCCAAAGTAACAAATTTTACATCTCAAAAATTAACATGTATTAATCAGTACAAAACCTGAAGTATAAAATGACAATGTGCCCTTGTACAAAAGTTTGTGTGCTGGACCAGTTCTTGGCTGAGAGCAAATCAATGAGGAAAACAAGATCTGTTGCTATTGGGTTTATCCCTCGCTGCGTGTGACCTGAGTTTGGCTCCTTCTTTTTCTTCAGCAGTCTAAAGAGCAATTCCTATACAACCATGTCTAAAGAGCAAAGATCTTTAAACACTGGACTCCAGCGCCACACCGCCATCATCGTGTGCCCAGGCTGCGATACAGCATCTGATTGTTACTATGCGTAGCTAACGTGTGTCTGCTCTTACAACACAAGCTATTATCTGTGCGTTTTGTCAGGCTCACGCACTCACTGTGCATCCTTCCCTGCACTTATCCTCCTCTGATAAACATAACAGCCATCCCTGCCTTCTCACAGTGGCAGTCAGGTTGACAGTCTCTTGGCAGATGACCCCCTGGAGTTCCCCAGTGTGGTCAGTGCAGAAGGGCCAGAGTCCACTGGCTTGCTTCCCTCCATCACTGACTCCCCTGGCTCTCGCAACGACCCATTGGTCGACACGGATGCCGGCGGAGAAAACAGCTCTTAGAGGGCAGAGCCTATATGAAATAGAATGATGGTTTCGTACAGTAACTCAAGCTTCTATGAGTATAGGTGTAGCCCTCTAAGCTGGCAGCCCCGCTGTCTCTACTGAAGAAAAAGCACTTGCATAGGGAGCCAAACTCAGGTTACACTGGCATGCCACAGAGGACCCGAGTGGGGACAGCCCAGTGCAGGGCACAGTGCGCGAAAGAAATGTCTTCAGGACTGCGCATGCATGAGGGATAAACCCAATAGCAACAGCTCTTAGAGAGCTATGCCTATACTCATAGAAGCTTGGGTTACTGTACGTATCCATCGTTATCTAGCTGTTGCCCCTGTCTGCAGTCTTTATGCTAAGCTAAGATGAGCTAATCAGCTGCTCATTCCAGCCTCACATCCACCATAGAGACAGAGAATCTTGTCATCTAACTCTCAAGCACAATATCAAAGTATCAACTAGTACTGGAGTTAAATATATTTTTCACCAAAGTGGCAATGCCATCATATCATTCTGTTTTCGCTGTAGCTTTAAACAGTAATGAACACAAGAAGTCATTAGGTCACGGCTGTTGCTGTAACTGACAGTAACATAACCTTCAGTAAATATATGAGTTCTAAATTAAATGTTTTTTTCCTTTCAATACCATCAGTTATTCAGATAAGAGGTGTGTATCAGTCAATTTGAACATTTAATGGGTAAATAATTTAAACCACTGAAACCAAAAACACATGCAGAGTTGACATATACTGTCTGCTAAGGCTGGGCTTTTGTCAGCACTCTAAGCAGCATTTCTGATTTTATTTGAGCTCGACAAAGGTCACCTCACAAAGACTGGTGAGTTCACCTGGTGGCTACAGACACGACATTCTAATTAAGAGCACAAGCACAGCTGACTACATGACCCAGGAATCAAAAATTAATCACTCTCCAGGGAGCAGGATTATCCAAGCTCCAACAGCAGGCAAAGAAAGCCCAGTCAGACATGTCAAACAGACATTAAATATCCCATCTGGAGTTTCTTTCTTCTTGCTTTATTTTATTTTATTTTGTTTTACTTTTTCTTCTTTGAGTGGAATCCAGGGCCATAATTAACTAGAAGGAAACAGGGTGGGTAGAGTCGTGTGTAATCATTTCTACTGTCATCACAGATAAGTGTAATATTTGGTGCAGCTGTACACATGGCCCATGGTATAACACCATGTCCCTGTGGGGTTCATTACTTTTATGGAAATGTTTCCCAGGAAATGGAATGTAAATGTTGAAGATCTACATTTATGAGAGGTGAAAACTTGGTTCTCTTTTTTTTTAAACTGCCTCTGCTGTGGGAGCACTTAAGTGTCTGTGTGAGTGTGTCCGAGGTCTGCTGGGATGAGAGTGGGCCAAACTGCTCTTAAAATCTGCAGAGTGGAACTACTATTTTGATTGTATAATCAAAGCTGCTTGTTATGTGGTGAAACAGGTGAGTGTTTATAGTACCAGTCTGCCAGTCCATAAAGGGGAATAATGAAGAGTTTCCAGCCCCTCTCAGATTTGGGTTCGCTGGCTGAATGCCACAGTCTGTGCTGCTCTTCAGGGCCTGTGTTGTTCTTCACTATCCATAGAGACAGCGAGCCCTTCTGTAAGCCTCCAGAACACAGCCAGAACCGCACCTGGTAAAGAAATTTCAAAGAGTGCAGTCAAATAAAAATTTTAGTATTCAGTACCACAAAACTGGAGTGTGGATTTCTGAGATGTCAGTATATAAAATATCAAAGCAATTTTAACTTCCTTTGAATACTGAATATTGAAGTAAAGCAGCCAAGTGTGTTATCAGTCAAGAAAGGGATACTTAAAATTGCACAGAGATCAATCAGCAGCAGCCATCTGTTCAGTTCATAATTAGTCTAAAATTAATTGAATTCAACCAGGATCATGTTTTGGGTTATTTTGCTCTGCTGCTCCAGCATGATTCAGCACGCATCAGTCTTATTTTACTGTTTCCATGAGGGATGCGGTGGGTATAAATCTGCTTATAATTAAACAAAACACAGGACATAGCAAGAATTAAGAAATAGTAAGAGGAAATCAGAAGATTAAGCTTGCTAACAAGCATGGGATGTGACCATATCCCTCTGCAGCATTTAACTTTAGCAAAGAACATAATTCCTGCTTCACCATTTGAGTGGAACAGATGCTGACTTAAGCCCTGATGAAACATACACATGCTGACTTAAGTCCTGATGAGATGTACACATAGAGATGGCACTATGCAGACAGCTGAATTCAACATATCTGTGTTGAGTTCTTGCGTTGTGCTTGTCGATAACAGGTAGTCCTTATCGTCCATTGTGAGGCCACATGGTGACAGTTTAAGCATAAAGATTAGAGGCACTGAACACTGGGCATGACATGAAAGTGAGCATAGTCTGTAGCTAATACCCAAAAACTAATATCCTCAACACAGTTGTCCAATGCAATCAAGCTAGACTGAACAGCACCAGTTCAATGTAGATTTGTCTTTGTCATCCTCGCAGCACGTTCTTTATGTTGTTCTTGTTGAGACTAACCTTGCTTCCCTTCCATATCTCTTATCTTGTTTTCTGACCTCCTGGCCTTTGCGTCACCTTCCCACCTCTATGCCTCACTTCGTTCTCAGCCTGTTTCACCTCAGGCTGCCTGCGCTTCCTTTTCTTGCCTCCACTTTAAATATGCAAAGTCAACATACAAAGGGACAGAGGTCGCTGTGCTGAGCAACCTTAAAAACTCTCACATAGCTCTAAATGCTAGATGCAGCAGCATCAATCAAAACGTCAAGTGCACAACCTCTTCACCCAGAGACCTGCTCTGTGAGCATCATGATCTGAATAATACATAACTGAATATTTTTACAAGCAGGCAAGCAGATACAACTGATGATTGATGAGGTCAACCTCATTATCTGTTTAGATCTCTCAGGACATGCAGATGACACAGTATTAACCTACTGTCTTGGCATATCACCATTTGATTTTGACCTGTTTTTGTTACTTCTACTCCTACAAAAATAAAATCTGTTAATGAAAAACACAATTGATAATGCATACATGGCTTTTTATGCAAATGCTACTCTATTTTAAACTAACATTTTATCATCACATCACACTACAATGTCAGCACATACTGTAGCATTCCTTCTATTTAAAATTTAATAGAAATCATACGGTTTTGAACATTAGCTGATGTAAGAGAAAGTGGAAAATTGAATTACTTTCTTTCCTGGTGATGAGTGGAGCATGCCAAGTTTGATTAAGATAAATTACAGGACTGAATGTAACAGCCTACATATTTTCTAACAAAACTGTCTTAGTACCTCCGTGTATGTGTTTTATTGACCATTCATTAATCCCACTCCTAAACTGTTACTGTCAAATCATAGCTTAGCAACAGTAGCTCTAACAAAAGCTGCAAACTTTACTATGTCTGCATAACCAGCTTGCTGTCCAGGGCAATAACCAAGTGCAAGGTGCATGTCATTAGCAAACCATAATATTATGTGGGGTTACAGGTCAGAGAAATGCCTGTTCAGGACTGGAACACTGTGGAAGTCAAAGTGAAAGTATACTCTGTCAGAGTTTAGAGTTAAATACAGTAGCAGCTTTGTCCTTCTATTTGCTGAGTTTGCAGAAGTTTACTGTACATTTCAGCAACTCCACTCATAGTATAACATTTTGCCAAAATCACTGTCAATAAACCTTAACCTCAAAATATTTTCTTTTGTACAAGTTAAACCCTGTTATTTCTTGCTCAGAGCCCATGGCATGCTTTCCCTTGTTTTTTGACTTATCTACAATATCACAACAGTGAATCATCATCTTCGACGTGACCTAAAGCTCAAAAATGAGGTGTACATATGTTCTAGTATTTCTATGCAGAAGCAACTCAGTTTATACATGTCTCACATAGTATCACTAGTGAAACTTTTTTTTTTTAACAAAATAAAGTATTAAGAATTTTGTTGAATGAGCATAACCTTCAGACAGTTGCACATTCATGTGAGCTTGCCTGACATCCACAGGTACCATTGTAAAAGTGGAAATTTTCGACTGCACCTTGTTTTGTGGATATATTTTCCCTCCTGCTGCTGCACTGTGACCAGAGGATGTGGAGAAAAATACAGGGTTTGAGGTTACTGCATGCTGGTTTCACTACCTGTTAGAATTCATTTCACTGCTTTGGGGCTGTATGTGGTCATGTGGGGAAGATGCAATGACCACCTGTTGGATTTACTGACCTTGGAGCTACTGTACTTGAAAGAGGAAATGATGTTTCCAGTACTCGGTAGGATTTAACGATAAGTTAAAAAAAAACACACACACATGTCTGTTGATGCTTTGTTTCTGTAACATTTGAGAGAATTTTTGTAAAGCTGGCGAAATTGCTATGCCTGCATTATGCCAGTTAAAATATGGGGTTTCTCAATTACCCACTTTGTTTAGAGTTACACATCTCTTTTCATCAGTACATATACCGTTGTTTACCTGTCTATGGAGGAGAAATTCAAATTAATTAATGTCAGGAATCGGTGCGTGAAGCCGCTGATAATGGTGAGGGGTGAACTCAATTATATAGCCAGACGAGTAAAAGCAAAAAACTGTCTCTTTAATAAGAGCCACGGTAACAAACCAAAACAATACAGAAAAACTAATGAAACAAGAAACACACTTGCAAGTCGGTAATACAGTCCAGGGTCAGAGCCAGCAAACTTATGCAGCCGAGGAATCCACAGACAAGAAGACAGAAAGGGAAGTACGATAATCCATACACAGAAAGCAGTGCGAATCAGGAGGGCAAGGCAGTACACAGTACCCAAGATTAAACATTAAATGGCTGGAGCATGCCATGGGCTCTTTAAGTGTGGTTTACTATAGTGAGCTTTAAAGCCAGAAGACACTTATACAGGCTACTTTTAAAACAAATCTGCTGGAAACAGTAAAAGTCAGCTGGAGTTTTTAATCAGCTGATATAATTCTAGTGTTAGCATTACCTTACTCGAACTGAAATACTAAATATAAACTGCTGGTGACAATTTCAGTTGAGGGCATCTACGGTCAACAGCTCAAAATGAGAAGCTTGCCATTTTTACTTCTGTGTGAAGTTGAAGACTCATTGTTTCATAGATAACAGCAAATTCTGAGTGGCAAATCTGGGACTGTTATTACTGTAAACTGCATACATGCTATGCAGGAACAGAAGCTTAATAAAGTGTCAGCTTTGCACATCTGTGTATGTTCGAGAATGAAGATTATACTTCCTCTGTTGAGAAACAGATTCTTATACTGTGCTCACCGTGCAAGGGGAGTTTCTCAGAGGAGGGGGGAGAAGATGGCTCCGCAGTAATGCCGAGCCACGCTGGCCCTTGGACTGGCCTCCCTCTACAGTGAATGTAGCACCTTAACACACAGAAACACACACATATTACACACTGAGAATAAAAAAACTCTAAAGCTGTGCATGTAAAATTGAATGAGAAGTGCTACAGTTTCTTTTGAGGTTTATAACTGTGGCAGGTGACCATTCATGAGGCATGTTACTCCATTACTTTCTTTGCTCTGCTTTGATGCACAACTTAACCTAGCCCCAGGTTGTGACTCTCATGTATTACATACACCTGAGTCACAGAGATAACATTCCATTTCATAACACTCATGCAATTTGTGAAGGTATTTCAGTTCAGTTCAATTCAAATTTATTTGTATAGCACCAAATCACAGCAAAGTAAAGTCAAGACCTTACTGTTATCACTATTATTATAGAAAAACTCAACAAATCCCCCTTGAGCAGGCACTTGGCGACAGTGGGGAGGAAAAACTCCCTTTAACCAATCTAAATGAAGATTTTAAAAACAATTGTCAAAGGCTAATGTTTGAGAAAAGCAAAGTTCAACAAAGTGACAGCAACAAACAAAATAGTTAAAACTGATTTCCTGTTGTTCAGGTAACTCTTGCAGTGAGTAGTGAGAGATAAGTCATATATAAAATCATCAGATATGGTATAAAATTACAATGTTCCATTTATAGTTTCTCTACAGTACCTCTGTTCTGTAAACACTTCAGAACAAAAACAAGTCTCAGCAAACAAAAACTTTAAAATTCTCATCAAGACTTGAGTCACAGCACTGATGATGAACTGCAGATGTAGAACTCTGAATCTACATGCTGGAGATTCATCACCCAGTGGGATTCTGTTTGTGGCAGTGCAGTGAGCTCTGAACAAGACGATGTGCCTATGTCTGACACATCAGTCATTCTGGTTATTGTTCCACATTCACAAATCAATCCACTGTTCAAGATGATTGAGTTAAAATGCCTGAGTCTTACTTTACTGTACATATTTTTTCTTTAAATGCCCCTTTAATGAGGCATTATGACTAATATACACAGTACAAGATGCTGCAAATAAACCATTTTATCACCCAATCAGAATAGTGTTCATGATATTATAAGAGACACCTGATGATGGACAGCTCTGTCTGGTAGCCTTGGCTGGAGACTGGAGTCTTCTCCAGGAGAGACCACGACCTGTTATTGACTGCCAGCTGCACTCGCCCTCTTCAAAAGAGCAGTAGCTGCCATTGAGAAAGTGGCCTGGAGAAGGAGAAAGACAGGAGAGAGTATATCAAGGCAGGAGAGGATGACAATGAACAAGGGGAATATAATGAGAATACAGACCCAGCAGGAGTGTGAAAGCAGAGAGAATGGAGTGCACATGGACAGCCAAACTACCAAAGAGAAAAAGGACAGGGGCAAGGGTGGGGACTGGGGATCAAGGAATTGCGCGACAGTCGAGCCAAGGAGAAAGACATGATGGTGTAGGGGTGGGGAAGCTGGTGCAAACTAATGGCTCACAGGACTTTGGTGAAAATTAGGGCTAAGATGGGGGCTTTCAGAGTGACTCTACAATTTTCTGCTCCTGTTTCTAAAGGCCTGAATTGTCTCAAGGAGGAGATAAGAAAGAAAAGAGAAAGAAGGGGGAGGGTCTGAGGGGAAATGAGAAAGCTGAGGTGCTGAGATGATGTGTTTAAGGGCTGGCAATCAACTTGAAATCACTTCAAAGAATGGCCTAACCCTCGGAAGCATTTCAGCCACAGACTATTACAGTCTGTACAGCAGTAATACAGTGAAAATGTGGATAAAACTCATGCTTGTGAAATCAGGTGTGCCTGCCTGTTACTGTGCCATAATGAAAAAGTGGAAACTCCTTGATTTGAAAACAAGGTTTCTCCCTTTGTGTTTGACTAACTAATTGACAGGAGAAATGAAATACAAACTTGGTGGTGCAAATGTTTAAACATGTATTATTTTGGCCAAAGGCACAGTTGTTTCATTTACACATAACAGAGCCATGTATTTTCGTGTCGAGCTCCACAGCAGCTGAAAATTTTTACATTAATGTCACTGAATCCTTCCAAAGTGCTGACATGACAACACTGGAAATACCTTCCATACGGACAAATGAAACCGCATAGGTTATTTATGGTATACAGGTTATCTATTGTTATGGGATTAAATGAGGAATATTTTTCTGCTGCACAATTCATTTATATCAGACTTAAGCTGATAGTCTGCGATAACAATAAGAAGATTAAAGACTTGAGCTTCATTTCAGTGTTTTCACCTTAAGTTTGCTTTATGTTCCTTTAATCCCTAGCTACTGTCTGTGAGTTCCCATTACCTAAAATATTCTGTAAGTGCCCTGATAGCAGCTGTGCATTTTGGAAATGGCATCATCCCCATAATGGATATGAAACTGGTCTGAGCAGAAACCATAAATCAAGTATTTTTCAGAAGGAAATGCAAGAAAAATACTTACTTCCTCGGTGAAACAAGTTTTAAATATTTTTCATTATACCAAATGCTGTTAAGAGAACTCAAACATATAAAGATCATAAAACTGAAAAAAGACAAGCGACCTGAGGAAAACATTTACTTTATTGTCACCTTAAAATTGGAGCTTTGTTTACAATGTTTTTTTCTCAAGTAAATAAAGACTCTTTAGTTTTTGGGGTAATAAGCGAATTCAATGTTCTCTTGTGTCTTGTAACACTATGAGTCACTCTTCTTGTTACATAAACCAGTTAGTGTCACATAAATCTTGTTCAAGCAACGCACAGAGAATCAAAGGGCCTTCATAGCTGCTCATGATATGAACAGACATCTATGATCTCACTTGAGACATCTGTATACAGGCTTTGTGCAGACGTGTCAGTCTTAGTGCCTTTTGCCATCAGTCGAGTCAGATGGATTCAACTTATAACACTTTATTCTATGAGGGTGAATAGGGCTGACATAAAAGTGTCATTACTATTATATGAAAACCTACAAGAACATTATCTTTATGAAGGTTTAGTAGGGTGCCATTCCATTAATAATACTTAATAATAATAATAATTAATAATGAAACTGACGTAAGTGACGTAACAAGATGGCGCCAGTGTGTGCAGCTGCTCGTCTGTTGCTCTTACTTTGGTCAACGTTTGTTTTAATTTTAATTGTTGGAACTCTACGGGCTCAGTCTCTGCTGGTGTATGATCGCCGATTCCTTTTGGATCTTCAATTTAAAGTTGGTAACTTATGTGTACTTGATCGGGATGGGCATAAGACTGTTCCCCTGGTTTTGTTGGGGATTCCGGCCCATCTCCTTCGGGCTTCGGCTCTGCTCCCCTGGCGGAAACGTCCCCGTCGCCGGGGTAGGCGTAGTGAAGCTGAAGACCCACTTGATGTGCTCCCCTTCTTTCCTTCGGACGGATTGGGAACTGTGTTCTTTCTTCGTGGTGTCTCGACGTTTGTGGTTCAGGTCTTATCTGTCGAATAGGACGATGTCTGTTGGTATTGCTGATGTTGAGTCCTTGTTCACCCCGTTGGTATCTGGGGTTCCGCAGGGCTCAGTTTTGGGGCCCCTGCTCTTTTCTTTATATTTACTTCCTCTTGGCTCTATTTTCAGAAAACATGGTGTTTCTTTTCATTGTTATG